TTCAATTACTTTGATGAAAAGGTTGATAAAATCGTAAAAAAAACATATTTTGTGAACAATTCGTTCTTTCGAAAGAATCATCTTCATTTTGAAACTTAAGACACAACTTAATATTCCTTTTAAATGTTTAAAAGGTTCACAAAAGAAACATTAGATACTTTTCCATAGTTTGTGAATCTGTTTCAAACATTTGAAGCAGTTCTTAAATAAACTGGGTAAACTGTGGATGTGTTTGGTGAGTTTGTTTGTGTCAAAGTCAGAGAGCCGTGTCTCTCTACAGTGAGAGGTTTTTGTACGGCGGCTCAATGACTTTGTATCACTGTGGTACACGTTCGGTGGAGGAACCAGACTGGATGTTGGAAGTAAGTCAAATGTTATTTTACAAGAGCAATTTCTCTTTTGTTGTGTATTCAGCATACTAGGCAAAATAGTTGCCTCTCCATGTCATTGTATAAATTCTTCTCAAATATTTTGCACTAAGAGGCTAACTTTCCTCCAGCAAAAGACGTTTAAATGTTTTTATGAGAGTTATTATTTCCACCTTTAATGGTGAAGTAGGATCTTGAGGGCTGGTAGGTTTAGTTCAGTGTGTCAAAGTCAGAGAGCCGTGTCTCTAAAGTGAGAGGTTTTTGTACGGCGGCTCAATGACTTTGAATCACTGTGGTGGACTTTTGGTGGAGGAACCAGACTGGATGTTGGAAGTAAGTCAAATATGAATTCATAAGAGCAATTTCTCTTTTGTTGTACTTATTATTCAGCGTACTAGGAGAAATAATTACCTCTCCATGTCATTGTATACATACTTATCAAATATTTGTTTAACTAAGAGGCTACCTTTACTCCAGCAAAAGTTATTTAAATGTTTTTATGGGAGTTAAACGAGAATAAATCCTTATTTCCACCTTTAATGGTGAAGTAGCATCTTGAGGGCTGGTAGGTTTAGTTCAGTGTGTCAAAGTCAGAGAGCCGTGTCTCTCTACAGTGAGAGGTTTTTGTACGGCGGCTCAATGACTTTGTATCACTGTGGTTGACTTTTGGTGGAGGAACCAGACTGGATGTTGGAAGTAAGTTTCTGCACAAAAACTAAATATGATGTTGTTAAGAGATGTTTTAAATTCTATGTTAGAATGTTTGAGAGATAGATTTTTATTATTTTAATCGTAATGTTTAGATAGTATTAGTATTCATGTCTTTATTTCTCTTCATCATTGAGCCTAAGTTGGAGAAGATGTTCTTGAAATGTCTTTATACATTCCCAACATACTGTCATTTAAACAGCTTCAAATGTGAAATGATAAAAATGCTAATTTTACCTTAACTTATTTTAAATGTATCTATCTCGGTTCACCCCTCTGTTTTCAAAGAAATTACGAAAACAGTTTTCATATACAGTTAAACAGAGTAAAGATAACGATGGATATTAAAAAATGTGTTGAATTCTTTCAGACATTATTTTAAAGTTTGTAAAACTGGGTTGTGATTGAGATTCACATTAAGCTCAATTGATTGCTCCATTTCCCGTATTTGTTCATTTATCCAGTAAATCATTTAAAATAATGGTTTGCTGAGTTCAGGTTTTGGATGATTTGGACCACAACTTTTTAAATGCTTCCTAATGTTGTACTTTATTTCCAGTGTAGTTGAGGTGATTCTGTATGAAGTGCCTCTGTGCTGATTTGCATGAGAGGCTTCTTAAAGGGAAGTGAAACAATGTGTGAGTGAGAGACTGATGGAGCAGAACCAACATCTGACAGAAACTCCTTAAAGGAGAAACGCTCTCACAGTAAAGGTGTCCCAGTGTCTGCTGGTTGATTGACAGCTGTGTGCTCCCTGTCCTCTAATCTGATTGGTGTCTCCTAGGTGATGTCCGTCCCACCCTGACGGTGCTGCCCCCCTCCACAGAAGAGCTGCAGCAGGGGAAGGCCACGCTCGTGTGCCTGGCCAACAAGGGCTTCCCCTCAGACTGGAGTCTGGCCTGGAAGGTGGACAGCAGCAGCAGCAGCAGCAGCAGCTGGGAGGAGAGCAGGAGCCCCGGGGTGCTGGAGAAGGACGCCCACTACAGCTGGAGCAGCACCCTGAGGCTCCCTGCAGACCAGTGGAGGAAGGTGCGCTCTGTGACCTGTGAGGCCACCCAGGGCTCCCAGACTGCGCTCTCAGAGACACTGAGGAGAGACCAGTGTTCCCAGTCCTGAGCTGACTCACTGGGACTCTGCTTTCTCTCTCACACTGCTCTCAGGACATGTTTCAACATCAACCTGTTTTTGCTTGTGTCGATGGTTTCAACATTTTAAAACAATAAAGATTAATGTGTGTATTATAAAAGTGACATGTCTTCGGATTCCCTTTCTGTGAGATATGATATATATAAGAAACCTTATTCACATTAATTCACAAATGTCACAACATTACCAAGTCAATATAACCCATATTACTTTTTAATGATCTTAAAGGTCCCATGTCTTGGCCATTTCTACTGATCATAATTCCATTGTTGAGGTCTACTAGAATACATTTACATTGTTCAATGTTCCAAAATCACATTGGTTTCTCATACAGCATGTCTGTATAGTATGTGGAATACTGGTGACTGCTGCGTGGGGTCTGAGCATCGCGGCTGAGAAAAGATAAGTGTGAGTGAGTCCAATTGGTCCATTTGGACTTAGTGACGTCAACCTGCCCCGGAAGAAAAAAATGAAAAAAGATAAATCTCCAACGAGGCGTTCTGGGGCAGCACAGACAGGTCTTTTCTGTGTTAGAGTTTTACTCGCTACAGGGTGTACTTTGATGGTTTGTGACTTTGCAGACCATTTACATGCAGAAAAAGCTACATAACACACAAGGGGACGGGTAGTAACCAGAAAAGCATATGATGGGATCTTTAAGGGTTTGGATATACTTCTGGATTTATTCTAGTTTTATTTTTATTAATAAAAATTGGTACCAATAACAATAGCATGAACATTTCAATGGTAAACCACAAAGCTCTCTCTTATTACTAATGTGTAAGTACATCCATGTGTGATGTTCATGTGTTGTTAAACTGTACCTTGAATATATTCTGACCATCTGAATCAAAACTTCTAAATAAGATTGTCCAGGATAAGAAATAAAAAGCATGGCTATCATCATCATAAAGTCATATAACATGAATCCTCAAATATTATTTAATGGACACAGTACAACTCCACCAAAGAACTTGAGACCAAAGAGAGGGTACCACAGGCTCTGTCTCTGCTGTCTGTTTGCAGAATTATTAAATTACACGATTTTTTGCTGATTGAATCAAAACTGATATTATATGAAAACAAATACTTATTTATTACCTTAGTTGTGTGAATGCCTTTCATAAGAATTAAATCGCTCCTATGTTTCTGTATGACATGACAGTAGATCCTGATTATCTTGATGCATATATTTGAAAATCATTGGTGGAGAAGATGTTTTTACAAAGGTGTTGCTCTGAGAAGATGCTTCTACAGTGGTGTTACTCAGCCAGAGTCGAAGCATTCTATCCCTCCTCGACTGCTGGTGAGTTCAATCATATTTGGATCTTTGTGATCGCTTTGCAGGTGCTGTGGATTACATTGGTGCATGTATGTCAATGACATTGGATTTAGATGGATGGATATTTACTTTATTCATCCCAATTTGGGAAATCATTTTGTTACCGGACCAGTGTGTTCAACATTAAAATACAAATACTTAAAAAGTGGAATAAAGTTAACAATTAACAATTACAAATCAAATGAAAATGGAAAATAGTATATCAAATATAAACACTATAAACAACATAACAAATTCTGGATATTTAAAATATTCTTTACAAAGGTCAAAAATACTGCAGTAGCAGGAATATAGGCTTATGCTATACTGTATAAACATATGAGAGCATATCATTTACAAATATACAGAACATTGCAAATTGTTATCAGGAAGTGGAGCTCAATGCAGCAGTGAGCTCTCTGCCAGCCAGAGGTGAGGTGTTGAAAAGTGTTATTGCAGAAGGCAGGAATGTTTTCCTGTCCCTCTCTGTGTGACAGCGGAGCAGTCTGTTGGAGAAGGAGCTCCTGTCTGTCCAGCTGCAGGTGGAGAGGGTGGGTGGGGTTATCCATGATGGATAACAGTTTGTTAAGTGTCCTCCTCTCCACCACAGCTACAAACTGCCCAGTTTCACACCGATGATAGAGCCAGCTCTCCTGATCAGTTTATTGAGTCTGCTGGTGTCACCGGCTTTGATGCTGCCCGCCCCCCCCCCCCCCCCCCCCCAGCAGACCGCAGCACTGGCCACAACAGACTGGTAGAAGATCTCCAACATCTTGCTGCACACTTGGAAGGATCTCAGCTTCCTCAGAAAATAGAGTCGGCTCATCCCCTTCTTGTACACAGCGTCAGTGTTGATCCTCCACTTCAGTCCGTAGTCTACGTGCACTCCCAGGTACTTACTCTGTTTACTGGATTATTCAGCCGCTTTTAAAAGACTGTTTTTTGAGTTGGACAATTCCTGTGGACTTGAACATTTCTCCAGTTATTGTAGTTTGTGCTACTGTTGGGGACAGAGTTATTTCCAAACAAGGATGTTTGATTTTAAGTTGGGACTTTTGATCTTTGGGAGTCTCTCCAGCGAGACAGAAGTGAACACTGTTCAAAAGGAAGATGAGCACCCATGAGTTTAGTGTGGCTTTTATAGATTTAGATTTACAATGTTCCTATGGTGTGTGTATGAGTTCATTCTCTTTATATTCCCTTGAGAAGTATTTCAGAATGCTTTGCTTGAAAAAGAAGAAAGTTACATGCCTAATGGAGATGACGGACATTTCATGTGTGTGTGTGTGCGTGCGTGCGTGCGTGCGTGCGTGCGTGCGTGCGTGCGTGCGTGCGTGCGTGCGTGCGTGCGTGCGTGCGTGCGTGCGTGTGTGTGTGTGTGTGTGTGTGTGTGTGTGTGTGTGTGTGTGTGTGTGTGTCCTCAGTGAAGTGTAGCTTCCAGCTGCAGCAGTCAGTTCAGTTCCTGTTCAGTCTGACTGAGGGAGGTTTTTGTACGACGCTTTTTCACTGTGTGAACACATACTGACTGTTGATGATATGGACACTCTGACAGTAGTAAACTGCTGCATCATCAGTCTGGACTCCACTGATGGTCAGAGTGAAGTCAGAGTTTGATCCACTGCCTGTAAAACGCTCTGAAATACCTGATGCTCGACTGGTAGCACCGTAAACGAGACGTTTAGGAGTTCCTCCATCTCTCTGTTGGTACCAGGCTAAATATATCCCAGCATGAACATGGGAACTGGTCGTACATGTGATGGAGACGGAGCGTCCCGCAGCAGAGCTCACTGCTCCAGACTGAGTCACTGTGACCTGGCCTCTGGACTCTGAGGATACAGAGACAAAGACATAAAGCAGCGTCATGGTTTTGTCCGCTTCATTCCAGAGGGACGGATGTTCACAGAGGAGAGGAGTTTGATTCTCTGGACTTTACCTGTGAAGCAGCAGCAGAGGAGAGTCCAGATGAGGACGCAGATCAAAGTCATGTTTTTGATGAGGAGGATTTCTGTGGCTTCTGTTGTCATGAAGGACAGCTGTCAGTCATCCAGTGTTCAACTCTCAGGACTATAAGGTCTCCCAGAGCACTGGAGCATGGTGCTGCTGATGCAAAGTGTCTCTCTATGGAAATGCTCTGACTGACTCCAACAGGGACCTGGATTACTCTGATGATGCTGTTTATCAATGGATCCATCTCTCTGTCAGAGGATTGATCAGGAATGGGTCAGCGCTCACTTGTTTGAGGCTCTAAGTTCAATAGACACATTTTCTTGAACTTAATTTCATTAAAAAGCTCAAATGAATAACCCCAAATAATCAATACCACCTGGGAAAAACTAAATGGAGATTTATTATTCATCCTGATGGACAAACAAACATGTATTTATGGGAATTATGCACATTTGGAAGTATAACATGTAGAGATTTTATTAGACATTTATTGTTTCATTTAAGTGTTCAATTACTTTGATGAAAAAGTTGATAAAATCATAAAAAAAACATATTTTGTGAACAATTCGTTTTTCGAAAGAATCATCTTAGTTTTGAAACTTAAGACACAACTTAATATTCCTTTTAAATGTTTAAAAGGTTCACAAAAGAAACATTAGATACTTTTCCATAGTTTGTGAATCTGTTTCAAACATTTGAAGCAGTTCTTATATAAACTGGGTAAACTGTGGATGTGTTTGGTGAGTTTGTTTGTGTCAAAGTCAGAGAGCCGTGTCTCTCTACAGTGAGAGGTTTTTGTACGGCGGCTCAATGACTTTGTATCACTGTGGTACACGTTCGGTGGAGGAACCAGACTGGATGTTGGAAGTAAGTCAAATGTTATTTTACCAGAGCAATTTCTCTTTTGTTGTGTATTCAGCATACTAGGCAAAATAGTTGCCTCTCCATTGTATAAATTCTTCTCAAATATTTTGCACTAAGAGGCTAACTTTCCTCCAGCAAAAGACGTTTAAATGTTTTTATGAGAGTTAAACGAGAATAAATCCTTATTTCCACCTTTAATGGTGAAGTAGCATCTTGAGGGCTGGTAGGTTTAGTTCAGTGTGTCAAAGTCAGAGAGCCGTGTCTCTAAAGTGAGAGGTTTTTGTACGGCGGCTCAATGGCTTTGAATCACTGTGGTTGACTTTTGGTGGAGGAACCAGACTGGATGTTGGAAGTAAGTCAAATATGAATTCATAAGAGCAATTTCTCTTTTGTTGTACTTATTATTCAGTGTACTAGGAGAAATAATTACCTCTCCATGTCATTGTATACATACTTATCAAATATTTGTTTAACTAAGAGGCTACCTTTACTCCAGCAAAAGTTATTTAAATGTTTTTATGAGAGTTAAACGAGAATAAATCCTTATTTCCACTAGTGATGTGTCGGTCGCGAACGAGCCGATTCTTTTGAACGGCTCTTTGGTACAAACGAGGGGAACCGAGTCGTACTTGGTGAGAGCCGTTCTTGTTATCGTTCAATCGTTGGTCCGCACTCACTGCCTGCCAACATCCACTCGCCTTTTAAAAAGCTTGATTTTGTTCCCCAAACGTATTCTGTGAAGATCCGCCACTACTCTGATTGGTAGGTTTCAGCACGAGGAGTGAGATGGGGTGGGTCTTAACGGAATACGCGCGAGAGAGAAGTCATAACAAGTGGTACAGGACAGGTAGACGACGTGTTTTTCGGATGGAAAATGAGCCAAACGCGAAAACGCAGCAGCATTTGGATGCACTTCAACCAAAACCCAGGCAGTGATAAAGCGCACCATTTGTAAAGGCAAAATATCCTTTAAAGCAGGGTCAACAAATAATCTCCATCGCCACTTAAAAACACAGTATCTAATATTAAGAGTTGCATGAATTTCATTCAAGGCAAGGCAACTTTATTTACTTAACACATACAGAGGGTAAATTCAAAGTACATTCACTGACATGAATGACATGGATATGGCGCCACCTTGTGTCATGTTTACAATGCCGATTATTGACATTAGGTCTGGCAATCATTATCCTGGTGATTATTTTGCAGATAAACCTAGTAACCTTAAAAAAACGGCTCTTTTGAACGGCTCTTTTGAACGGCTCTTTGAAAGGAACGGAGCCATAAGATCCGGCTCCCTTCAAAGAGCCATAATTCCCATCACTAATTTCCACCTTTAATGGTGAAGTAGCATCTTGAGGGCTGGTAGGTTTAGTTCAGTGTGTCAAAGTCAGAGAGCCGTGTCTCTCTACAGTGAGAGGTTTTTGTACGGCGGCTCAATGACTTTGTATCACTGTGGTTGACTTTTGGTGGAGGAACCAGACTGGATGTTGGAAGTAAGTTTCTGCACAAAAACTAAATATGATGTTGTTAAGAGATGTTTTAAATTCTATGTTAGAATGTTTGAGAGATAGATTTTTATTATTTTAATCGTAATGTTTAGATAGTGTTAGTATTCATGTCTTTATTTCTCTTCATCATTGAGCCTAAGTTGGAGAAGATTTTCTTGAACTGTCTTTATACATTCCCAACATACTGTCATTTAAACAGCTTCAAATGTGAAATGATAAAACTGCTAATTTTACCTTAACTTATTTTAAATGTATCTATCTCGGTTCACCCCTCTGTTTTCAAAGAAATTACAAAAACAGTTTTCATATACAGTTAAACAGAGTAAAGATAACGATGGATATTAAAAAATGTGTTGAATTCTTTCAGACATTATTTTAAAGTTTGTAAAACTGGGTAGTGATTGAGATTCACATTAAGCTCAATTGATTGTTCCATTTCCTGTATTTGTTCATTTATCCAGTTAATAATTTAATAATGGTTTGCAGAGTTCAGGTTTTGGATGTTTTTGACCACAACTTTTTAAATGCTTCCTAATGTTGTACTTTATTTCCAGTGTAGTTGAGGTGATTCTGTATGAAGTGCCTCTGTGCTGATTTGCATGAGAGGCTTCTTAAAGGGAAGTGAAACAATGTGTGAGTGAGAGACTGATGGAGCAGAACCAACATCTGACAGAAACTCCTTAAAGGAGAAACGCTCTCACAGTAAAGGTGTCCCAGTGTCTGCTGGTTGATTGACAGCTGTGTGCTCCCTGTCCTCTAATCTGATTGGTGTCTCCTAGGTGATGTCCGTCCCACCCTGACGGTGCTGCCCCCCTCCACAGAAGAGCTGCAGCAGGGGAAGGCCACGCTCGTGTGCCTGGCCAACAAGGGCTTCCCCTCAGACTGGAGTCTGGCCTGGAAGGTGGACAGCAGCAGCAGCAGCAGCAGCAGCAGCAGCAGCAGCAGCTGGGAGGAGAGCAGGAGCCCCGGGGTGCTGGAGAAGGACGCCCACTACAGCTGGAGCAGCACCCTGAGGCTCCCTGCAGACCAGTGGAGGAAGGTGCGCTCTGTGACCTGTGAGGCCACCCAGGGCTCCCAGACTGCGCTCTCAGAGACACTGAGGAGAGACCAGTGTTCCCAGTCCTGAGCTGACTCACTGGGACTCTGCTTTCTCTCTCACACTGCTCTCAGTCTGCTCTCTGGCTCTCAGGACATGTTTCAACATCAACCTGTTTTTGCTTGTGTCGATGGTTCCAACATTTTAAAACAATAAAGATTAATGTGTGTATTATAAAAGTGTGTTCTGATTCCCTTTCTGTGAGATATGATAAGAAACCTTATTCACATGAATTCACAAAAGCCATCATACATTTTTTCCAGATGACTTGTTAATAATTGCTAGACTGTTGATGTACTTCCGCATTCATTTTGTTTCTATCTATGTTATTAATTAGTTCCAATAATCTTAGTAGGAACATTTAAATGGTAAACCACATAGCTCTTATAACTAATGTTTAATGTATTCTCTATGTTATGTTCATGTGTTGTTAAATGTTACCCTGAATTCATTCTGGACATCTGACTCAATAAGAAAAAGAAATGCAGGTTAAGAAATGAAAAGCAGGGTATCATCTGCATACAGTTATATAACTTGAATCTAAATTGAGATTACCTTAAAGGTCCCCTATTATACTCATTTTCAACAATATATTATAGGTCTCAGATATTTACAAACCATGTCTCTGAAGTGTTTGGCTCTAACAACCAAACAGATCATGCATGATATAATGCAGTAAACCCCTCTGCTTCAGCCCTGTGTTTGGTTTAAAAAAACACAATGGTGCTCTAGGAGGAGATTCAGGTGATAAGGTGGGCCGGTGTTACCTTGGTTGGTTATTGGCTAATGGTTGCACAGCCCAACAAAAACATTGTGACATCAAAAAGTGGCCAAAATCTGACCAGCTCATTTTCAGACAGGTTTTTAGATGGATCAGGATAAAAAGAAAGGGAATCTTTTTTCCTGAAACTTTCATAATGCCTTTACACAGAGGGGACACATATTTATGTATAAAAGGAAAAGTGGATCCTGAGTCTTGGATCCACGACCTCTGCAGCTCATCCAGAATGCAGCGGCTCGTCTGGTCTTCAACCTTCCTACATTTTCCCACACCACACCGCTCCTCTGCTCCCTTCACTGGCTTCCAGTAACTGCTAGAATCCACTTCAAGACACTGGTTCTAGCGTACCATGCTGTGAATGGATCTGGCCCTTCCTACATCCAGGACATGGTTAAACCATACACCCCAGTATGTGCACTCCGCTCTGCGTCAGATGAGCTCCCCATTGACATCAGGACATCCTAACGCTTACATATCTTCCGGCGCAGACTAAAAACTCATCTCTTTCGACTCCACTTTGAGCAATAAAATAAAAAATAAAATAAAAACATACTAACAAAGCACTTATATAATAACAAAGGACTGGCTTATCTAAAGCCAGTTGAGTAGCACTTAAAATGGTTTGGCTCTATGAAACATAATGTACTTATATGATTCTGTTTTCTTCAAGTTTGTATCTTCTTGGTCGAATGCACTTATTGTAAGTCGCTTTGGATAAAAGCGTCAGCTATATGAAATGTAATGTGGATCCTGAGTAGTGGATCCTGAGTCGTGGATCTGAGTCGTGAATCCTGAGTCGTGGATCCTGAGTTGTGGCTATAGCTGTCGCTGTGGTCCTGCCTGATGCTCTCCTCCTTAAAGGGCCCATGTCATGCTTTTCCGGTTATTACCCGTCCCCTTGTGTGTTATGAAGGTTTTTATGCATGTAAACGGTGTGCAGAGTCACAAACCCTCAAAGTACACCCTGTAGCGAGTAAAACTCTAACACAGAAAATACCTCCCCAAAACGCCTCATTGGAGATACGTCATTGTCCATTTGATTCTTCCATTTCGTTCCGGGTACGGCATGATGTCAAGCCGTACCCGGAACGAAATGGACCAATCCGTGGAGCCGTTACGTTAAGCCCCCGCTGATTGGTCCAAATTGACCAATCCACGGACTTCCTCACATACACATCTGTGTGCAGGGAGCAGGCAGCTCAGCTGATTTCTCCTCCCTGGCTGCAGGCTGATAACAGACAGTTGGGATCGCGGCAAAATTCTCTCTGCAGACCCATTCTCACAGCGTTTATCATCCTTTTTCTTACTCAATATCAAGCCACACTTATTGTTTTTACTTTGGCTGTGAGTTTGTGTGTGCTCAGGATGAGTTTGGCTGTGTTTGGCTGTGTATCGCTAACAAGGAATTAACACCTCCACGGAGCTCAGCGCGATTCACAACGTCCAGACCAATCAGAGCACACTGTGCTCACAGGGAGGGTGGGGGCTGGAGCTTTGGGAGCTACAACGAGCCGTTAAAGGCAGAGAGTGAAATTCAGTGAATACAAGTAGTTTACAGAGATGCTGTATGAGAAACCAATGTGAGTTTGGAAAATTGCACAATATAAATCTATTCTAGTAGACCTCAACAATGGAATTATGATCAGTGGAAATGGCCATGACATGGGCCCTTTAATACTTCTTTGATGGCTCCCACAGGATTGTTGTCATCCACCTGGATTCAATGTCTTCTTATTTATAGACACATGCATTGTCAAGCATTTGGACTACCTATGTTGTAAATGTATTGTCTTTTTAATTTACAAACAACATCTATTGCACGTCTGTCCGTCCTGGGAGAGGGATCCCTCCTCTGTTGCTTTCTCCGTTTTTTTTCATTTATTTTCTTTGGATGTTTTTCCTTGTCCAATGTGAGGGTCCGAGGACCAAGGGTGTCGTATTTATATTCTGTACAAACTGTAAAGTCCGCTGAGACAAATGTAAAATGTCTGATATTGGGCTATATGAATTGATGGATTTAATCTTCAGCTTTTTCATTGATATCTACACATATATGTACAGATATACAGTTTTATAATCTGTTTTGAAGAAATTGCATAGCATCATTGATATATTGTGAGTGCAATAAAACGGTATCAATGATACACTTATGTAATTGTACACAATTTCTTACAGCATGATAGAAAATAAGATTTGTTAAGAGCTAAAATATCTTTCTTTTCCTGCTCCTTGACTAATTACGTTAGAAAGCAAACATAAAAAGTAAGAATTTAGCATTCACTCAATATTTATACAAAATTAAATATGTGCTATAATGTCACTTGGGGTTCACAGTTATGAGGGCCAAAGTTATAGAGTGGTTATTAAAGCTGTTAGAAAACCTTTTGGTACTCAAAAATCACAAACTAATTGTAAAACTATTTTTAACAGAAATAAACAAGTTTTTTTAATGTTGAAAGTGTTGTTGTGGTATTACATTAAAAAAATGTTGGTAATGAATGCTATAGTTTTTTGTTTTTTGTGTGCAGTTGTTCATTCAAATCACTTCCTCTTTAGTTGAGGAGGTTTTTGTACGACGTTGTATCACTGTGTGAACGGGAAGCTCTGACAATGCTGACAATAATAATCTCCTGCATCTTCAGCCTGAACTCCAGTGACGCTCAGAGTGAAGACAGTCCCAGATCCACTTCCACTGAAACGATTTGAAACTCCAGACTGAAGAGATGTAGCATAATATACCAAGAGTTTAGGAGCTTCTCCAGGTTTCTGAAGGTACCAGTTAAGGCATGTACCAGCACTTGTACTGGCTGTACATTTGATAGAAAGAGTCTGTCCTGGAACAACAGACAGAGATCCAGGAGACTGAGTCAGGAGGATTTCTCCTGATGAATCTGGAAAACATGAAAACAGCAGAAGGGTTATTGAGACAAATCCAGCTTGGAGAAAGATGATCAACATCCAAACAGAAGATCATCCTCTCTTTAACATGGAGATCAGATGGAAGAAGGTACATGCTGCTTGTCTCAGTGCTTCTCCATCATAGCAGATCATCATGTTGGTGAACCTGGTTGCATCCTGAAGCAACGTTTTCAGAAGAGAGTCTCACCCTGAACAAGGAGCCCCAGGGTGGCCAGCAGTAGAGTCAGTGACATCATCATTGTGCTGCCGGCGTGTCAGTGGCTCTGAAAGACCTGGACAGCCGCTGATCACCTCTGGCCTCTTAATGTCTGGGAGCAGAGAGGCAGGACACATATGCAAACACACAGAGTCAGTGAAGTGTAGCTGTCCTCAAACAGCATGGTGTTCCCCCTCAGTGCTGACAGCATTCACTGTTTCATGTTTCACTACATAATGGCCTCTCAAAGATTACTATGTCGAACACAAGTTCATTTGGTTTACACAAAGCAAGTACTACAAGTTGAGCCTGTTGGTGAGAAGATTTTAAAGTGTAGAAATATATGTTGTTTGACACACGTGAAAGAAAAAAAAATCTATTGATACAGATTGTTAAAAGGTTTCACACCAGAATACAAATTCAGTTTTGCAAGTTTTCTTATAGAGTAGCTACTTTAATTTACATGATTCATTTTGACAGAAATGTAAAGTCTGAAGTCGGCAATTCATCCTTTTTGTAAATCTAAAAGAAGAGTGGCATTAGACAGAATACTATATTTAATGACTGATCACGTTATGGTCTTAAAGATTAAACAAGGCAGTTTTATATGATGTGAAAATGAATGTCATTAGTGGGGAATATGATTTCATGATGAATATACTCAGAGAAGATACCTGAGATGCTGATGCTTTTCTTTAATCTCCATAAAGTTGTATTATTTCAGTTTTCAGATGCTCCTTGTTTTATCATCTGTTCAAATCTACTGTCTGAAATATAGCTGACACTTTAGATCAGCAGCATGAAGTGTTGGATTCACATCTGTTGTTTACCGTTTACATTATTTGTTAAGTTGTATCCCAATGTGCTTCAAGCTAAGCTGGAGATGATCATTTCAGATTTGTTTGTCCATTTAAACGGTGTAATTCAATTTATATTTAACTTTCACATCCATCACTCACTAAAATGTTCAAAGGACTGTTAAATGAACTTTGACCGGCTCTTTGAAAAGATCTCATGTAACAGATGATTTTGATTCTTGGCTCCACATTAAATAAAGAATCCAGTTTAAGATACTGGTGATCCCTTTTAGAGCTCTGCATGGTCAGACAGCCTCCTTTATCTCTGACCTTCTACAGCGCTGTATCACTAGGAGGTCAGAAACGTCTCATGATCAGGGCTGGCTGGATTTACCTCACTGCAGACTTTAAAGTGAAGGTGACCTTTGATTTGAAGTCGGGACTTTTCATCTTTGGGAGTCACTCCAGTTAGACAGAAGTGAACACTGTTCAAAAAGAAGCTGAGGACCAATGAGTTCAGTGTGGCTTTTATAGATTTAGTATTTTAGTATGGTGTGTATGAGTTCATTCTCTTAATATATTATCAGGAACATTTCAGAAGTCTTTGCTTGAAAAAGAAAAAAGTTACACGCTTAATGGAGATGAAAGTGTGTGTGTGTGTGTGTGTGTGTGTGTGTGTGTGTGTGTGTGTGTGTGTGTGTGTGTGTGTGTGTGTGTGTGTGTGTGTGTGTGTGTCCTCAGTGAAGTGTAGCTTCCAGCTGCAGCAGTCAGTTCAGTTCCTGTTCAGTCTGACTGAGGGAGGTTTTTGTACGACGCTTTTTCACTGTGTGAACACATACTGACTGTTGGGGTAATGGAAGCTCTGACAGTAGTAAACTGCTGCATCATCAGTCTGGACTCCACTGATGGTCAGAGTGAAGTCAGAGTTTGATCCACTGCCTGTAAAACGCTCTGAAATCCCTGATGCTCGAGTGGTAGCATAATAAACGAGAAGTTTAGGAGTTCCTCCATCTCTCTGTTGGTACCAGGCTAAACACTTCCCAGCATGAACATGGGAACTGGTCGTACATGTGATGGAGACGGAGCTTCCCGCAGCAGAGCTCACTGCTCCAGACTGAGTCACTGTGACCTGGCCTCTGGACTCTGAGGATACAGAGACAAAGACATAAAGCAGCGTCATGGTTTTGTCCGCTTCATTCCAGAGGGACGGATGTTCACAGAGGAGAGGAGTTTGATTCTCTGGACTTTACCTGTGAAGCAGCAGCAGAGGAGAGTCCAGATGAGGACGCAGATCAAAGTCATGTTTTTGATGAGGAGGATTTCTGTGGCTTCTGTTGTCATGAAGGGCAGCTGTCAGTCATCCAGTGTTCAACTCTCAGGACTATAAGGTCTCCCAGAGCACTGGAGCATGGTGCTGCTGATGCAAAGTGTCTCTCTATGGAAATGCTCTGACTGACTCCAACAGGGACCTGGATTACTCTGATGATGCTGTTTATCAATGGATCCATCTCTCTGTCAGAGGATTGATCAGGAATGGGTCAGCGCTCACTTGTTTGAGGCTCAAAGTTCAATGGACACATTTTCTTGCAGTTAATTTCATTAAAAAGCTCAAATGAATAACCCCAAATAATCAATACCACCTAGGAAAAACTAAATGGAGGTTTATTATGAATCCTGATGGACAAACAAACATGTGTTCATGGGAATTATGCACATTTGGAAGTATAACATGTAGAGCTTTTATTAGACATTTATTGTTTCATTTAAGTGTTCAATTACTTTGATGAAAAAGTTGATAAAATCTAAAAAAAAACATATTTTGTAAACAATTTGTTTTTCGAAAGAATCATCTTCATTTTGAAACTTAAGACACAACTTAGTATTCCTTTTAAATGTTTAAAAGGTTCACAAAATAAACATTAGATACTTTTCCATAGTTTGTGAATCTGTTTCAAACATTTGAAGCAGTTCTTATATAAACTGGGTAAACTGTGGATGTGTTTGGTGAGTTTGTTTGTGTCAAAGTCAGAGAGCCGTGTCTCTCTACAGTGAGAGGTTTTTGTACGGCGGCTCAATGACTTTGTATCACTGTGGTACACGTTCGGTGGAGGAACCAGACTGGATGTTGGAAGTAAGTCAAATGTTATTTTACAAGAGCAATTTCTCTTTTGTTGTGTATTCCGCATACTAGGCAAAATAGTTGCCTCTCCATTGTATAAATTCTTCTCAAATATTTTGCACTAAGAGACTAACTTTCCTCCAGCAAAAGACGTTTAAATGTTTTTATGAGAGTTAAACGAGAATAAATCCTTATTTCCACCTTTAATGGTGAAGTAGCATCTTGAGGGCTGGTAGGTTTAGTTCAGTGTGTCAAAGTCAGAGAGCCGTGTCTCTCTACAGTGAGAGGTTTTTGTACGGCGGCTCAATGACTTTGTATCACTGTGGTTGACTTTTGGTGGAGGAACCAGACTGGATGTTGGAAGTAAGTTTCTGCACAAAAACTAAATATGATGTTGTTAAGAGATGTTTTAAATTCTATGTTAGAATGTTTGAGAGATAGATTTTTATTATTTTAATCGTAATGTTTAGATAGTGTTAGTATTCATGTCTTTATTTCATCATTGAGCCTAAGTCGGAGAAGATTTTCTTCAAATGTCTTTATACATTCCCAACATACTGTCATTTAAACAGCTTCAAATGTGAAATGATAAAAATGCTAATTTTACCTTAACTTATTTTAAATGTATCTATCTCGGTTCTCCCCTCTGTTTTCAAAGAAATTACGAAAACAGTTTTCATATACAGTTAAACAGAGTAAAGATAACGATGGATATTAAAAAATGTGTTGAATTCTTTCAGACATTATTTTAAAGTTTGTAAAACTGGGTAGTGATTGAGATTCACACTAAGCTCAATTGATTGTTCCATTTCCTGTATTTGTTCATTTATCCAGTAAATAATTTAAAATAATGGTTTGCTGAGTTCAGGTTTTGGATGATTTGGACCACAACTTTTTAAATGCTTCCTAATGTTGTACTTTATTTCCAGTGTAGTTGAGGTGATTCTGTATGAAGTGCCTCTGTGCTGATTTGCATGAGAGGCTTCTTAAAGGGAAGTGAAACAATGTGTGAGTGAGAGACTGATGGAGCAGAACCAACATCTGACAGAAACTCCTTAAAGGAGAAACGCTCTCACAGTAAAGGTGTCCCAGTGTCTGCTGGTTGATTGACAGCTGTGTGCTCCCTGTCCTCTAATCTGATTGGTCTCTCCTAGGTGATGTCCGTCCCACCCTGACGGTGCTGCCCCCCTCCACAGAAGAGCTGCAGCAGGGGAAGGCCACGCTCGTGTGCCTGGCCAACAAGGGCTTCCCCTCAGACTGGAGTCTGGCCTGGAAGGTGGACAGCAGCAGCAGCAGCAGCAGCAGCTGGGAGGAGAGCAGGAGCCCCGGGGTGCTGGAGAAGGACGCCCACTACAGCTGGAGCAGCACCCTGAGGCTCCCTGCAGACCAGTGGAGGAAGGTGCGCTCTGTGACCTGTGAGGCCACCCAGGGCTCCCAGACTGCGCTCTCAGAGACACTGAGGAGAGACCAGTGTTCCCAGTCCTGAGCTGACTCACTGGGACTCTGCTTTCTCTCTCACACTGCTCTCAGTCTGCTCTCTGGCTCTCAGGACATGTTTCAACATCAACCTGTTTTTGCTTGTGTCGATGGTTTCAACATTTTAAAACAATAAAGATTAATGTGTGTATTATAAAAGTGACATGTCTTCGGATTCCCTTTCTGTGAGATATGATATATATATATAAGAAACCTTATTCACATTAATTCACAAAAGTCACTCACAACCTTAACAAGTCAATATTTTCCATATGACTTTGTAATGATCTTAAGGGTTTGGATATACTTCTGGATCCTAGTTTTATTTTTGTTAATGAAAATTGGTACCAATAACCATAGCATGAACATTTTAATGGTAAACCACAAAGCTCTCTCTTATCACTAATGTTAAATTAAATCCATTTGTGATGTTCATGTGTTGTTAAACTTTATCTCGAATATATTCTCAACATCTGAATCAAACATATTTCCAGGATTATAAATAAAAAGCAGTAAATCATCTGCATACATTTAAATAACATGAATCTAAATTGATATTTGACCTATCTAGATTAAACATTACATCTACACCAAAAACTTGACACAAAAGAGAGCGTACTACAATCTCTGTCTCCTGCTGCTTTTTAGCAGAATTTAAACATTGTGATTTTTCGCTACTTGAATTGAAACTGATATTATAATAAAACAAAGGTTGCGGTCAAATTATCCAAATATCGTCTTTTCCTAACCACTATTCCATGACGTCTGAGGGAAACGTCACCGAGTTAATGAATAGTGGCTTTTAATGGTGTTGTTTTATGATTTTTGAACCTGGACAACAGTGAAAAATATATTATTCATTAGGTTGGAATTGAAATAGAAATTGAAACTTATTGTCACTCACACGTATTAACCCTGTAAGGCCCCCGGTTATAATTTTACAACATTACTTTAGGCTATCCTAAAAAAAGTCAGTAAATGTTTTTGTTTGTCAAAAGGTCCTTTTGTTCAGCCTCACAATGCCATTGGGTATTAAATGTGGGTAACACTTTATATTAAGGTACACAAAATAACCATCAACAAGTTGTTAATTAACATGCATATTAGCAGTATATTGGCTCTTTATTAGTCATTATAAAACACTTATTAATGCCTTATGTAGAAACATGACCATATTATGCAAGTAATAAGCCATTAGTTGAGAGTTTTTCCTCAATAACCCTCTAATTAGTGCTTAATTGTTGCAAGTAAGGAAGTTGTTGTACATGAGTTTTGGTCTTAATATGCTCTGCTCAATATGGGCCTAATAAGGCAGTAGTACCACATGAATAGTAATTCTCCCATAATAACACTTAACAAATATGATCTATTCTTATGTAACAAGACATGAAACTATAAGTGTTAATTGTGTCGAAATAACTCAAAATTAAATAGGCTACTTTTAATTTTTGGACTCTGAGTATATTTTGAAGGCTATCTTTAATTAAGTTATGTCTTGTACTTTTACACCACTGTGCTAATCTATAGAAGGCAAAGAGAAAGCAATGAAAGTCAGCAGGCTTGTTTTACACTGTCTATTTAGTGCCTCCTTCAGATCAGACACCTCCATTCATCTGCAGTTCCAATTTCAGCCAACAGAGGTCAGCAGTGTTCTACTTTTGATAAGACTTACCTTCTTATTGTATCTGAAGGTAACTTGGGAGGTCCTTTACCTGAACCCCTGCAGCCATGAGTGGCTTTTAACTTGGAATAAGCCTGGTGACCCTCAATAAAACAAAAATATTAAGCCTAATAAAAAATTAAACACTATACCCTGCCTTCTTCATTGTAATTACCAACATCCTATTGGAAAATCATTGGGCCCTTAGATATCCTATCAACAAGTCTAATGCACCGGTCGTAGATGTAATCAGATCAGTTATAAATATCATTATGATCTACTTTATCTATGATCTATCTAGTAAAACATTGTCTATAGATTATTGCATTCCCACGATAGGACATTCTTAACCGTCAGCAGCCAATCCCTCTTAAACTGTGCAATTTAGCATTGTTATTGTATTTATTCTAATATAACACTTTATTTATTGTAATGTATATCTTTTTATTTTAACATCTTATATTTACTGAAATATTTGTATGATATTTTATTGGAAATGTTTACTTCTTATAGTTATTTAAATATATTTGTTTTATTTTATTTTATTTTATTCATTGGAAATGATCTTAACTTCTTATGCTTATATATATCTGTATTTAAATTGATTTTATTAATGCAAATTCTTACTTTAACTTTGTATGTTCATACACATTTTTGTTCTATTTATTTTTTTTAATCTTAGATTTTATTTAATTCTTAAATGTAGCAACTGTCACAAAACCTAAATTCCCCCAGGTAAAATAAAGTATTCTGATTCCAGTGAGTAGCCTACTATTTGTCACACAGCAGCAGTTCAGTCACAGTCAGTCACAGTGGCGAGCCGTCAGGGCCCTCTAGGCCCTCTGTGAGGGCCTAAGATATTCCAAAAAATAATATTTAAAAACATTAAAAAAATATATATTTTTTTAAAATATATATATTTTTAATATTATTTTTGTTATATTTTTCATTAGTTTTACCGAAAAAAAACTTGATTTAATAAAATAACATTTCCAAATAAATAAATCCTTCGAATCTGCCTGTTCAGTCTCTGTTTGAATGTCAGTTACTATAGCGGGCCTCTGCGATTCACAGAGGGCCCGCTATAGTAACTGAACGAGAGAGTAATGTCAAATGACAG